GCCCTGATTTGCCCAAAAGTGGCCCTAAGTGACACAGTGTCACTTTACAGCAGCAACTGATTAAATGCTGGCACTACCTACTCACATTGTGATTTTCCCCAAAAGCTGTATCAAATGAACAAAGAAGGTTTGTTTTTTTTTTCCTTTTTTGGCAACTTTGATTAAAGGGTTTTTTTTTTTTTTTTAAGATAATGAAATAACAGTACAGACTTATAAAATTCACCAAGCATTTAGCCCTTCCTTTTTTCTTTCCTTTCTTGTCTCTTCCATTGTTAATACTATAGCAAACCTATTAATGTGTTATAAAGTTACCAGCTATAACCAAGCATCCTTTTATTTGCTTCTTTGTATATCTAGGTTATACTATTGAAATGGATAGATCTCTTACTAATCTGATGGCAAACATGTATGAATCTGACCAATCATATTTCTATTGTTGAAAAAGCCTTTATATGACACCAGGTATTTATCTTTTATCTCAGTGGTGCCTGGATGAATGTTATATACTTGGAACTTTATTACACAAAGAACGGTGCTTACAATGACTCCTGATACATACAATATCCACATAAAAATGTCTGTATTGAAAATTGCTTTTTACTATTACCAATTTTATATATTTTGCAGCATGAAATAAAATAATTCTAAATGTACATAATTTTTGTGTCATTTCTTCCCAACGGATGATAATTTTCTGAATTTGATTCCTAGCTTGCATAAATAGCAGTTGCATTTTTATTCAATGCAACTTAATAAAAGCTGAGACAGAGGACAAGATGAGTAACATTTCTAAATGACTGCTGAAATTCCATAACCTGAGTGCTGACAGAGCTGGTGAAGAAAGGAGAGAGGATTCATTCAGCATCACGATTCCTAGTGCGGCATTACAAGAATGGAGGACCAGCGACCCAATGTGGCAAACCCAATTGTTGCACCCGGGGCCACAGAGGAAATCCCTGATGCTTGAATATTACAAAGGATTTTTGAAAGGCCCTTAATTTTTATAATCTGGATTCAGAATCAACCTCTGAGCACCTGCTGTGGGCTAGATAAATTTATATACCTGTTACTTCAAAATATTTTGTTTTTAGGTTGACATACCTGATATATTGGTTCAGGGGAAAAACTGCAAGCATTGGTAGTTTTGACATGCGGTACCCTGGAGAAGTGAAATGACAGACAGTAACCTTGAGTTGCTGTTGCTGTTTAATCTGACTAGTTATTGATAACACTGATACAGGCTGAGCCAAGACTTTAGAGAAAACATGTTAGACTATAGGGAAGAAATAACACTACTCACAAGACCCCAAACTCATATATTTTATATTTCATAAACCAGATTCTGCTGGGTTAGTACTTTTGTTTTAATGTACTTTCAACTAGCTTTCCTAAGAATTGAAGATTGGGAGGCCGAGGCACATGGCTCTCTTGAGGCCAGGAGTTCAAGACCAGCCTGGCCAACATGGTGAACCTCCTTCTCTACTAAAGATACAAAAATTAGCTAGGCGTGGGGGCACATGCCTGTAATCCCAGCTACTGGGGAGGCTGAAGCAGGAGAATCACTTGAACCTGGGAGATGGAGGTTGCAGTGAGCCAAGATCATGCCACTGCACTCCAGTCTGGGTGAAAGAGCAAGACTGTTTCACAAAGGAAAAAAAAAAAAAAATTGAAGATAACAAGTAGCCATACTTTAAGTCTTGTCTCAAAGGAAATGAAGTCATTAATATGGAGGATGGCCCGTCCCCCAACGTTGTTCTCTTAGAAGGCTGAATAGGTTTTCTTTCTGAACAATCCCATCCTCCAGCAATTAGGTACTTCATGGCCAATCATCTTAGTGTCTTATTACATTTTTTATTGATTAAAATTTATCAAAGGCTTCACAGGTGGGCACTTTTATCTGTGTCAACATGTGATCTGTCCTAAAACATCAGATGTACTGTGAAGTTTATTTCCTTTGAAATTCATTTAAATAGTTTATCATTAAATAAAGCAGTGGTTCCAATAGGACATCAAGAGACCAAGCCAACCTGAAATTATGAATGAATGAACAAACGAATGACCTGTGTTCCAGTATTTTTCCAAATTATCAAATGGAACAAAACCTGACTTTAAGCAAAATCATCTAAGCCTGGCTTTCGTCTCCTTGTGCTGTCAGATTTATGATTCTCCTGCACAGTCCGGTTACTCTGCACACAGTGCAGAACAGTCTGAAATCCGGGGAGGAGACAGTCCCATCTCCGGCTTTCCAGACACTGGGGAGTATGGTCCTCATTATGCCTCTTGAACTGTTTTGTTTTCTGACAAACTTTGAACAAGTGGAACAAATATTTTACTCTCTTTTAGCCTTAGCTATTTTACTTCTAGGATATATTATCTTCAAACATGAGAGATGTTGGAGGTAGTATTGAGGAGAGATCTCAATGTTCAGCGACATTAAAATCTAGTGAATTTGCTGTACATAAATTACTTGGCATTTAAATGCTACATCGATTTAAATGGATAATTGTATTATAAACTCACAAATAGCATCTCTTCAATATTTAATTATTAGAAGGTATCTCAATATTTTATAGCTCTTCAGCTGCTAGTCAAACACATCATAAAAACAGATTGGAAGAAGAAATATTTTTGGGATTTGATACACATCTACAGTGACAGCTATAATAATGACAAGTTAACACAGGGTACTTCTGCACGCTACGCTGGTTATATGACACCTGTTAGCTCAGGTCTACAAACTCTTCTCATAAAGGGTCCAACAGTAAATGTATTCTCCAGCTTAGTGGGACACATAGTCTGCCTCCCAACTACTCAACTCTACCCTTCCCAGAGCAAAAGTAGCCATAAATGAGTAAGTGTGGGCTGTGTCCTAATAAAACTTAGTTTAAGGTCACTGAAATGTGAATTTCATATAGTTTTCACATTTTTTCCTCTTTTTTTTTTTTTGAAATGAAGTCTAGCTTTGTTGCCCAGGCTAGAGTGCAATGGCACGATTTCGGCTCACTGGAACCTCTGCCTCCCAGGTTCAAGTGATTCTTCTGCCTCAGCCCTCCCGAGTAGCTGGGATTACAGGTACCCACAATCACGCCCGACTAATTTTTTGTATTTTTAGTAGAGACGGGGTTTTACCGCATTGACCAGGCTGGTCTGATCCGCCCGCTTCAGCCTCCCAAAGTGCTGTGATTACAGGCGTGAGCCACTGCGCCCGGCCTCTTCTCTTTCTGTTTTGACAGGGTCTTGCATTGCAATCCAGGCTGGAGTGCAGTGGCGAGATCACGGCTCACTGCAGCTTTTGAACTCCTGGGCTCAAACAGTCCTCTCACCCTAGCCTCTAGAGTCGCTGGGGGCGGGGGCGTGTATCACCATATCCAACTAATTTTTAAATTTTTTGTAAAGACGGGGGTTCTCCCTGTGTTGCCCAGACTGATCTTGAACTCCTGGCCTCAAGTGATCCTAACGCTTGGACCTCCCAAAGTGCTGGTATTACAGGTGTGAGCCACCACGTCCAACCTGTCACATATTGTTTTAAAAAATATTTTAGGCCGGGCGCGGTGGCTCAAGCCTGTAATCCCAGCACTTTGGGAGGCCGAGGCGGGTGGATCACGAGGTCAAGAGATCGAGACCATCCTGGTCAACATGGTGAAACCCCGTCTCTACTAAAACTATAAAAAATTAGCTGGGCATGGTGGCGCGTGCCTGTAGTCCCAGCTACTCAGGAGGCTGAGGCAGGAGAATTGCTTGAACCCGGGAGGCGGAGGTTGCGGTGAGCCGAGATCGCGCCATTGCACTCCAGCCTGGGTAACAGGAGCGAAACTCCGTCTCCAAAAAAAAAAAAAAAAATTTTTTTTAAATTATTTAAAACTAGAAATAATCATTCCTTGCTCAAGGCTGTTAAAAAAAAAAAAGATGGCAGTCTTCCCGCCCACTTCCCCTTTCCTCTACTCCCCCCCACACAGAAAAGAATGGATTTGGCTCTAGTGCCATAGTTTGCTGAGCTCTGCATTATCTCATGGGGTTAGTAGGGCTTTTCTAAACGGTCAGATATACAGATTATATTCTCAAGTGAATGGGAAAGAGTTTTCCCGCTAGCCTCGTTTCCCACTCTACTGCCTCCTCACTTTCTGCACCCTGCTGCCCGAGGCTGATGAGGTTTCAGCCAGTCGTTTCTGAGGTTAAAAGTAGGCTCTGCACGTCTAGACTGTAGACACACCAACTAAAGAACTGCTACCAATTACAAAGATAGGCAACAATGTTAAGAGTTTGAGCGTTGGAGTGTCCTGATTGGGTTTGGGCGTTTTCATAGATCCAGTTGCCTTGATCAAAGCGGCAAATGGACAGAGCCACAGGTTGTTGCAGTAATCCGCAGATAAAGGAAGGTGATCTGGACTAGGCTGGTAGGATGGGGGACCAAGACAGGCTGCCTTTAGGATGCATATTTAGGATTGGGTGCTTCCTTGAATGAAGATTGATTAGCTGGTTCAAATACCTGTCACACAGGATAAAAGGAATTTTTTTTTTGAAACAAGAGTCTCACTCTCTTGCCTGGGCTGGAGTGCAATGGCGCGATCTCAACCTCCACCTTCCGGGTTCCTGTGATTCTCCTGCCTCAGCCTCCCGAGTAGCTGGGATTACAGGCGTCCACCGCCACGCCCGGCTAATTTTTGTATTTTTAGTAGAGACGGGGTTTTACTATGTTGGCCAGGCTGGTCTCGAACCTCTGACCTCGTGATCTGCCAGCCTTATTCTCCCATAGTGCTGGGATTACAGGTGTGAGCCACCGCGCCCAGCCTAAAATTGATTTAAAAAAAAAAAAAAAGAAATGGATACGTTTTTACATCGTTTTTAAAGCGCTACCTAGGTTTGGCCAGGATCATGTATCATTTCACTCTTTTACTTATTAATCATTTTAAAAATTGCAAGCTCCTGATTTACTGATTCCCCCATCCCAAAGTGGAGCGCAACATTTTTATTTTTTCAACGTAAAAGTTGGTTTAAAATACCTTTTCTGAAGAAAAAAAGAAAGAAATCCGCATTCACCACAGTCACTGGACAGGAATCTGCGTGGAGACCCGCGTTCCACTTCCAGAGGTCGACCTTCCCCTGCCCGGGTTCCTGCCGCCCCTCAGCGCCCCCTACACCCCCCACACGCTTCCCGCCGGCCTCCCTCCTCCTTCTCCCGGGTTCCCGCCCCTCAGCGCCCCCTACACCCGCCCCACGCTCCCCTCCAGCTTCCCTCCTCCTCCGCTCTCCGGTTCCCGCCGCCCCTCAGCGCGCCGGCGCGCCCCCTAACACCACCCCCACGCTTCCCGCCGGCCTCCCTCCTCCTTCTCCCGCGTTCCCGCCCACTTTCTCGCCCTCCCGGGAAGCTCCGCCCCCTCCAGCTCCGCAACCCAACTCCCTCAGTCCTGCTGTCGCTTTCCTCTTTCCCCTCCCCGATGGCGGCCTTCGATTGGCTAAGCTTGCCGGCCGCGCGGCGGGGATGCGGCTAGCCGCATTCTGATTGGCTGGACATAGGCTGGGCCCCTCGTGATTGGCTGATTAGAGGAGCCAGCAAGTGTGGCTGCGCTCCGGGGTGTGTGGATACCGCTTTGTTGCCTGAGGGGGGTGGCGGTGGAAGTTAAGGGAGTCAGGCGCTCTCGCTTCTCGGGACCCGCAGTCGCGGCCGCTGCAGCCACTTCGCCCGTGGGCCCTTAGCGTAGGAGTCGCGCCGACAGCAGCCATGAGCGGCGGCGTGTACGGGGGAGGTGAGTGAGCGCGGCCGGACGACAGCGCACGCTTTCTCGGCGTGTGGGGTTGGTGACCGCCGCTCCCGGCCGTCCCTCCCCTCCCGGCGCTCCCTTCCGGTCTCCCGGTCTCGGACCCCGGGCTCCCCGCCCCGTCTCCGCCCCGCGCTCTGCCCGCCTACCGAGCCCACCCGGCTCGGCGCGCGCCTCGGGCGCCCGGGAGTTGCGTGTGTCTGTGGCTCCTCCGGCCTCGGCCCGGGAGGAGCGGGGTTCTGGGGGGCGCGCTCTGGTCTTTAGGGCGTCTCGGGGCTGGGGGCAGCTCAGTGGCCGCCCGGCCCCGGCTTCGGTGACCGCCCAGGGCGCATCTCCCCCAGTGCCTCCCAGACTCGGCTCTGTCGGGACGTGCGCCCTGAGCTCGGAAGGTCCCGGCGTGTGCGAGCGTGGACCGGGGGCTCCCGCCGTGTCCCGTGGGTGGAAGCGCCTGGGGAAGCCGCGGAGGCTGCTGCCCCGCCCGCCTGCGCCCCGTGCGCGAGCCGCCTCACCTTTCAGGAACTCCTGCCTGTGGGTGCTGCGGGGTCTCGGTGGTGACTCGTGGGCGGGGCCTCGGTGGTGACTCGTGGGCGGGGCTGTTTGAGATGAATTCAGGAGCACGTGTGGTTTAAGGATGCCCGGAAAGTTGGTCCTAGGCGTCTTGTGTTTTCACTTTCCTCGAGGAGGCTTGTGGTGTAGTAGAAAGATTACCAGGTGCTGGGTGTTACAGACCGGGGTTGAAACGTCAGCCTCACTACTAAGCGCTTTGGTCTTCGGCAGTTTACGTAACTTTCCAACTTCAAGCCTCGTTTATGGAATAATTCCTAGCCTATGGGGTGGGCGCGAAGGTTACATGAAATAATGCTACATTTGCTACTTTAAAGTCTGGTCCGTGGACCCTCAGTGTCAGCATCACCTGCAAGCCTGTCAGATATGCAGAATCTCACGCCTCATTCAAAATCTGATTTAGAGCCTCCATTTTTGCAAGATCTGCAGGTGAATGGAAACATTGACACATAGGATTCATGTTTTGGGTTGTGTTTGATGAGTTAGAGACCCAGAAAACAAATCCAAACTATTGCTATTCCTGTTTCTAATAGTGATGCTGTTTTTATAAAGGATGTCACTTTACAGGTAGGATGCAACAAAAATAAGATTTTCCTTTATGTTTCCGAAGAGAATCACATCACCTAAAATTTGAAGAAGAAAAGCATTACAATCCTCAAAAAAAAAAAAAAAAAAAAAAAAAAAGAAAGCCTTTTTAACAGAAAAGAGGTGATTCTTGAGGATTTTTATACACTGGAAATTGCATCCTAGGTTTTAAACATCTAGAACTCTGTGGTTCTGTTAAGCATCTTGTCTCCCGTTGCCACTCTCCTGCTTTGGGTTCATGGGTGCTTGATTTTTAAGGAAGCAGAGTACAGGAATTAGATGTCTTTCTCATACTTGAAAAGGTACAGATGTAAAATTCTAAGAATTCAGAGTCTTGAATTAAAATTCCACTAGTTTAATTAACTAATTAGGACAGGAAAATGAGCTGTTATGTTGGATTTTGGATTTTTTTTATATTTCATAAATTGTTTTTTGAGTCCTTGCTATGTGGCAGGTATAGGCTCTGTCATCAAGAAGCTCAATCATTAGGTAAATTGACACCATGTTTCACTGATTCTTAGTTGTACCTTTTTTTCCAAATTTAAACAGCTGAAGTTGGAATATATCTTTTTTTTGTTGTTGTTGTTAATAGAGACGGGTCTTGCTATGTTGCCCAGGCTGGTCTTGAACTCCTGAGCTCAAGCAATTCTCCCACCTTGGTCTCCCAAAGTGTTGGGATTAGAGGTTTGAGCCATTGCTTCCAGCTAGAATATGTTTTAATAGTGCTGGTGTGGCAGACTTTAATTGCCATATATTTTCTTAGTTACGCAGGAAATAATGGTACATCATGTAGTTGATAGCATCTTATATTGATGATAAATGGTAACTGTAATTCAAGGAGAGATGTTCATTAATAACAATATGTAGAAGGGGACAGGTGTGGTGGCTCACACCTGTAATCCCAACACCTTGGGAGGTGGAGGCGGGTGGATCACTAGAGGCCAGGAGTTCAAGACCAGCCTGGCCAACATGACAAAACCCTGTCTCTACTAAAAATACAAAATTTAGCCGGGCGTAGTGGTGCATGCCTGTAGTCCTAGCTACTGGGGAGGCTGAGGCATGAAAATTGCTTGAGCCTGGGAGGTGGAGGTTGCAGTGAGTGGAGATCATGGCCACTGCACTCTAGCCTGGGTGACAGAGCGAGACTCTATCCTAAAAGAACAAAAACGTGTGTGTGTATGTGTGTGTGTGTGTATAAGTGTAAAACAAAGGTAGCACAGAGAATAAAGTTATTGATTCAGTGTGGCGGAGTCAAGGGGCTTTACAATAGAGGTAATGGGGATGATGGAGGAGCAGTGGAAAGGGACAACATATGCAGAAGTTAGATGAGTGAGAGGAGTATGTGTGTTCAGGAGATGACATGTTACCCAGTATGTTAGTGTATGAAGCAGGAAGTAAGACTGCTACCAGATTATGCTACATCTTGATCATCAACTGGCTAGAATGATTTAAATTTTATCAAATACAGTGATGAGAAACCACTGAATGATTCACCCCCTTATTTTTGTCGAAGGATTTATGTACCAAAATAACGGCAGTTACAATATTGAAAGATCACAGTGCAACAATTGGAAGGGTGGATTTAAGAGGCAAAGAATGGAGGCACAATACCTGTAGGGAATTGTAGTTTCCTGTTGAGATAAGAGCTTGCCTGAAGGCAGTGGCAATGGTATTAAAGAGGAGGGATTTTGAGAAATATTTAACAAAATATTTGGCAGAACTTGAAAGATGGAGGTGTTCCCAATGTCTCTCTCTCAGGTTTTTGCCAAAGAGGACCGGTGGTCATCAGTGTGTTAGGCAGTGCTGAGATTAGCTGTGCTTCAGATGTGTTGATTTGGAGATACCTGTGAGGCATCAGATGCAATTATGTTGATGTACAGTAAAAAGTTCCAGATATGGATCTAGACTCTGGTTAGAGCCTGAGAGAGAGAGATTTGAGATTGGAATTATCATCAGTATTTAGGTAGAAGTTGAAGCTATAGGAGTAGAATATATTTCCCAGGAAAGGGTAAATTAGGGAAGGGGCTCTAACATGGGGTTCTTGGCTTTCCCGAAATTTCCATGGTAGAACTATATTTTATCATAATTGGTTTCTTTTATAATCTATTGAAAAGATTCTAAGAAGGGATTCATAAATTTCCTAAGCTGTCTGTATTAGTTTGTAGGGCTGCCGTCATAAAGTGCCACCGTCTTTGTGGCTTAAACAACAGAATTTAATTTTCTCACACTTCTGGAGGCTAGAGGTAGATCTCAGTATCAGCAGAGTTGTTTTTTTCTAGGTCTCTCTCCTCTGTGTGTAGATGGCTGTCTCCTCCATCTTCACATGTCTTCCCTCTGTACATATCCAAGTCCAAATTTTTTCTTAAAAACATCAGTCATACTAGATTAGGACCCAACCTAATGATTTCATTTTAACTTAATTACTTCTTTAAAGACTCCGGTTTCACTGGGCGCACTGGCTCACGCATATATGTATGTAAATTTTTTTTTGAGACTGTCTCACTCTGTCTACCAGGCTGGAGTGCAGTGGCACAGCCTTGGCTCACTGCAGCCTCTGCCTCCTGGACTCAAGTGATTCTCCTGCCTCAGCCTCCCAAGTAGCTGGGATTACAGGTGCATGCCAACATGCCCGGATAATTTTTGTCTTTTTAATAGAGACGGGGTTTCAGCCTAACACGTTGGTTAGGCTGGTCTAGAACGCCTGACCTTGTGATCTGCCCACTTTGGCCTCCTGTAGTGCTGGAATTACAGGTGTGGGCTACCGCGCCCGACCCTCACACCTGTAATCCTAGCACTTTGGGAGGCTGAGGCAGGTGTATCACCTGAGGTCTGGAGTTCGAGACCAGCCTGGCCAATATGGTGAAACCCCATCTCTTCTAAAAATACAAAAATTAGCTGGATGCGGTGGCACGCACCTGTAGTGCCAGCTGCTTGAGAGGCTGAGGCAGGAGAATCGCTTGAACCTGGGAGGCAGAGGTTGCAGTGATCTGAGATTGCGCCACTGCACTCCAGCCTATGTGACAGAGCAAGACTTCATCTCAAAAAAGAAAGAAAAAAGAGATCATTCTGCAGAGTTACTGTCTCTTAATTGATATTTGTAAAGTAATAATGGGTTTAATTTTATTTTAAAAGTTTTTGAAATAGTTCAAATATACTAAAAATGTATAGATGTAAGTTTTTGATGTTACTGTAATCACCTGGAAGTTTGTATGTAATTCAGTACTATACTCACCAATGAGATT